TCTCCAGACTTGTCCTTACCTTTAAGTTGACCATTGTCTTACTTGTCTTTCACCCTTATTTCTGGCTGATCATTCTTAGTTTTCCTGGAACAGGACACTCTTCAGAGTTTCTTTTTTTCTTTTTTTCTTTTCTTGGAGAGGTTTTTTTCGCTATAGGGCACATGTGTTTGCCAGACAGATAGAGAGAGACATAGAGACAGAAAGCAAGAAATCACCCCCCAGGGGGGATCATCATGCCACAATCCCTTCTCCTCCATTCTTCTCTCAGGATCTTGGGCACGCATGCACACACACCCAGCGTGAGTTTTAAGTCACTGGGTCTGGGACATGAACCATGGTCAACTACATGGGAGTCCAGCAACATAGCCATTATGCTAACTACTGGTTCCCACTCTTCAGAGTTTCTTGAAGAGCTGGTATGGTGTTGGTAAGTTCTTTCAGGTTTTCTTTGTTTGAGAAGATTTTAATTTTTTTCCATATGAAGGATAATATCCCTGAATATAATAATTTTGGTTGAAACTGTTTCTCTTAACACTTTCAATATGTCTTCCCACTCTTTTTTGCTTGCATTTTTCTGTTGAAAAGTCCAGAGTTAGCCTGATGGGATGACCTTTGTAAGTCACTTCTTGTTTCTCTCTTGCCAATTTTTGTATCTTGTGTTTATCTGTGGTCTTGGCCAGTCTGGCTAATATGTGCCTTGAAGAAGATCTTCTTAGGTTGATTCTATTTGGAGTCCTTTGTATTTCTTGGGTCTGGATGTGTAAGTGCTTCTCTAGAGGTGGGATGTTTTCTTCTAGGATTTTATAAAATAGATTTTCCATGCCCATCTTATTTGCCTCACCTTCTGGGATACCAATTATTCAGATGTGTGGACGTTTAATGGAGCCTAATGTTTCTTGTATATAATCCTCATGTTTTGTTGTTGTTGCTGTTGTTATTTTCTCTATCTTTTTGGTATTTTTTTTTCTAGGTCAGAGGTTTTATGTTCTACATCACAGATTCAGTATTCAGCATGGTCGAATCAACTTTTAATACTTTTGAGAGAGTTTTTGATTTCCTGTATTACAGACTTTATCTCTAATAGCACCATCTGATTCTTTCTTAGAGTGTTCATTTCTTTTTTCATATCCTGGAAGGACTTCCTAATCTCCTGTAGCTCATTGTCATTTTTCTGTTCCAACTGATAAAATTTTGTCACCATGAATGTTCTTAAGCATTTTTCTGACATTTTGGAAACATCTGTTTTTTTTCAAGAGATGAAGAGCAGTTATTGTGTTTTTTTGATGGAGACATATTTTCTGGTTTATTCAGACCTGAGGCTCTTATTCTACTTCTAGCCAAAGGGAGAGGTGTTCACGTTTGGATACCTTTTGACTGGGAACAAGTATGCTTCCTTTTTTGTAGACTGATGTGTGCCAAAGTCTCTCTTCTTCTGTGTTTTGCAATGTGATCTGCAGAGAAGGAGTCTTCTATTCAGGGGTCTGAATAACAGTCTTCCCTTTTTTGCAAGTGGTTATGTAAAAGGGAGAATCCCAGGAGGTATCACAATACCAGGGTATTTGAAAATTGTGAATCTAGATCTGTCTAGCCCCTTATGGTGCATGGAGAATTGGTAGGAGATGACAAGATAGGACGGAAGATAAAAGAGTATGAAAGAGAATAAAGAAATTGTGGGGTGCACGATTTCGCCAGGGGTATGGAGATGAAAATGGGCTCTGCTGAAGAGCTGGAGTAGTCCTATGGTGTAAGGATAAATAGAAAATTCACAAAAGAAAGAAGAAGAGAAGAGGAAAAAAGGTCTATCTTGCTGACAGAGACAGTGGGTTGCTAGGGTTGGGCAACCAAAGCTGGAGCTGGGGCAGAGAGGCCCTGCCTCAGTGTCCCTTAGGCCAGGGGTCTGGAGATGGAAATGGGCTTTGCTGAAGTGCTGGGGGCAGTACTGTGGGGTAAGGACAAGTGGCAAATTCTTTAGTCATATTCTTAAAGAAATTTGTCATTTTTTCCCTATAATAATGATCCTCCTTTAAAATCATCTCTATTCAGACAACAGTGTCATCATCCAGCTAAATGACACCTCATCTCACTCACAAGACCTTCAGAGTCTCTCTTCATTGTTTGCACATGATTTGCTTAAGCAGAAGGAAAAATACATTAAAAGTTTTCTGAAGCCCTGGGAACGTTATTCACACTAGTTCTGTGTATCATTGCAGGAGAATCTCCTAATTTGAACCTGGGCCTATAACTTTATGTCTTTTGGCTTGGATGAAGAATTTTCCCTGAATTGCATGACTTGACTGTATTTCCTAATGCTGTCCCCTTTGTTTAGGTACTGATGGAAGAACTACCAATATGTATTGGCCTTTTTCTTTGCCATTGAGCAGATCAATAAAAGTCCCCATTTGTTCCCCAACCACTCCCTTGGTTATAATTTTCACAGTGCATTTCCCAGTGATAAAAGAACTTTAGAAAGTGCTCTCTTTTTGCTCACTAGAGGGAAATCAGTCCCTACCAAACTACAACTGCCAGATACAGAAACAACCTGTTGCTATTATTGTAGGAAACATGCCAACATTTTCAGCTCAAGTTGGAACCCTATTGGAGCTTTACAAAAGTCTGCAAGTAAGTGGGTTGTCAGGTTAAGGAATGAGAATTGGATATGTCCTAATGTAATCCTCTTACATCTTAGCAAAGAAAACATGGAAGCTGGGGTTATGTACCTCTAGAGGCCCTAAGCACTTCTCTTGGTTATTTGAACACAATTTGCTTAAACAGAGGGAAAAAGGCACAGGTTCTTTCCTGGGTCATGGGACTTTTAACAGTACAAGGAATAGAAAGAAAAAGAGCTGTAGTAGGCCAGCTGGTGATATGGTGGTTAATGTGCCTGGATTTCACTTGGCTGACTGTATGGCTCAAATCTTGATTTTCATATCTTGAAGAATACACAGGGCATATGTGCTTGCATGCCCCAAATCCCAACATATAAGGGATATTGGTACAACCACCTCATATGAGGGGTGATTTCTCACTATCCCTCACTATCTCTCTGTGGCAAGAATACATAATTCAATTTGCACTATGGCAAATTCAAAATAAAAAAGAAGTAAAATTTGTTTTCACCCGTGTTTCTTTCCATAGCCATAACATCCATACCCAGTAATGGGAATATTGAGGGTTGTCTTAAAGATGCTTTCTAAAAAGTGCACACAATATAGGGAAATATCCCATCTTAGGACAAGACAATATTAGCGGATGTGAAGAGGACAATTAGACACAAATACATAAAAACCTTTGCATTCATTATCACTTTGGTCAAATAAACAATATTCCAGCACTGGAGATCCTCCAAACTCACATAATGGCTCAGTTCCTCAGCTGAGGTTTATTAGATCCCCCTGCCCTTCCTCACATCCATGCAGGTGAATCCCTTGGAAGCACTTCCAGTTACTCTCAGAATGACAACTCTCCACCTCAGAGGTTCTTCCAGGGAGATTATCTTATAAAAATTTCAAGAGACCTTACTGGTAAATACAGCATTAGCATTGAATAATTATGTTGTAGAAAAAAATATTTTAAAAATGTCATAGAGGCTATATGCTTGTGTTTTAAAGACAATATATTTTAAGTTGTGTTGATAAGATACAGTATGAAAAACTCAATACATATTTTTTTCTCAGAGTTTAATATTTTAAACTTGGCATCTAGAAAAGGAAGCCTCTGATTCACATTGTCACATCAGACCAGGAAGGCAGATTCACCAATATTTCATTGCAGTATCTTATTTTTTTTTTTGGAGAGGTTTATTTTTTTCACTATAGGGCACGTGCACTCGCCAGACAGACAGAGACATAGAGACAGAAAGCGAGAAATCAACCCCCAGGGGGAATGGTCACGCTGCAATCCCTTCTCCTCCATTCTCCTCTCGGGATCTTGGGCATGCACGCACACGCCCCTGGCGTGAGTTTTAAACCACCGGGTCCAGGACGTGAACCACGGTCAACTACGTGGGAGTCCAGTGACATAGCCATTACACTAACTGCTGGTTCCCAT